GGTAACACCATTATTAGTACGGTGCAATTAGACCTAAACCGGGACATCCAAAAAAAAAGTTTCAAACCAGCGCCAAATTGTTGAATACACTTCCCTCAATATGTAAAAAAAAGTTACACTGATTTGAGTGTCGGGTTTGGGGGGGAGGGGGTGAAAATGGGGTGAAAATAGGACTTTTTTTACTTTTGTGCAAATACCTCAAAAACGGTGAGTTTTTCTTAAAATACAATGAATTACAAAAATAATCTACATTAAATTTAAAACAAAATGATACCATACAATACTTATCTACAATGAACGGTTCAGGAGATATTGAGGGGTAAATGTGATTTTTTCTTAAAATTCTAAAAAAATTGTTTTTAAATGGAGAAAACCCATGGACACCCATAAAAAAGTTTCTATTGAGTGCCAAATTGTTCAATGTACCTCCCTTAATATGTGTAAAAAAGTTACACTGATTTGAGTGTCGGATTTGGGAAGTAGGAAGAAAATGGGTGAAAATAGGACTTTTTTTACTTTTTTGCAAATACCTCAAAAACGGTGAGTTTTTCTTAAAATACAATGAATTACAAAAATAATCTACATTAAATTTCAAACAAAATGATACCATACAATACCTATCTACTATGAACGGTTCAGGAAATTTTGGGGGGTAAATGTGATTTTTTCTTAAAATTCTAAAAAAAATTGTTTTTTAAATGGAGAAAAACCATGGACACCCATAGAAAAGGTTTCTAATGAGTGCCAAATTGTTCAATAGACCTCCCTTAATATGTGTAAAAAAGTTACACTGTTTTGAGTGACGGATTTGGGAAGTAGTGTTTAAAGAAAATGGGGTGAAAATAGGATTTTTTTTTACTTTTTTGCAAATACCTCAAAAATGGCGAGTTTTTCTTAAAATACCGGTACAATGAATTACAAAAATAATCTAAATTAAATTTAGAACAAAATGATACCATACAATACCTATCTACAATAATTGGTTCAGGAGATATTGAGGGGTAAATGTGATTTTTTCTTAAAATTCTACAAAAATTGTTTTTTAAATGGAGAAAACCCATGGACACCCATAAATTATCTTAATCCAATAAAGAATTTTAAAATGGTGGCCATTTAAATATTTTAAATTTAAATTGCAAAAAAGGCTATTTTTTATGAAAAATGTAATGAAAACTTTTATTTAGGTTTTAAAATTCCCTATCAAACGACACCAAGCTCAATAAGATTGAATAAAAATAACTAAATTATAACTATTTTTAGTTGTAAAATTATTAAGATCAAGGCTTCGCTATTCAGGTTTGCCTCATTTTACAACTAAAAATTGTGATATTTCATTTATTTCTTTTATTATTTTCATCATTTTAAAAGCTAAATGAAGTTCATAAAAGTCTCATAAAATTAGTCATTTTTTGCAATTTCAATTTAAAAAAATTTAAATGGCCGACATTTTGAAATTTTTAATTGGATTAAGATCATTCTTTTTCTAACGAGAGTCTATTTTACCTCAACATACATACCAAGTTACATAATGATCGGTAAAAAAATTCAAAGATAAAATACTGTTTATGTGTAAAAAAACAAAATGACAAATATCTGGTTAACGAAGTGATTTTGGGAAATAATTTATTCTTGATTTTCTAATTATTTTGACCCATAGAACCATTTTCTGGAGATTGGCTGTTCTTACGGGACACCCTGTAGGATGTCTCACGTAAAGTGAACCAATAGCGTTGAAACTCACCTTTTTTATTATGAGTTAGTTATAGAGTTGACTTCTTATGGAGCACTTCCCTTTACTTTTTAGATGTTTTTTGGGATGATTTCCAATTTTAAAAATATGTTTGCCATTTTCCAATATGGCTGACAACTTTGTTATTTCTTATGGAACACCCTGTGGTTTATGATTGTTTTATAATTCAAATGCAATTTTAAGACATTTTTAATTTTGACATTTTCTCTTAAAATCTACTCATTTAGGAGTTACAACGTAACGTGTTACACTTATGGAAAAAAGGCTTGCTGTATACATTCCGCATCCTGTAGCTCATATACGAATAAGTTTATAGAATATGCAAAGAACAAAAAAGAGTTAAAATCGCATTTATATCTTAAACAGACCATGAAATACAGAAGGTTCCAATATTAAAGTTAGCTGCCATTTTGGAAAATGGTGGAAAGTTTTTTTACAAGGAAATCAATATTTTTATTGTATTCTATTATTTTATTAGAATGTAGTTGAAATTTTTACAACCGTGCATAGTTGATAGGTATTGTAAATACGTATGATTGTGTTTGAAATTCAATAAAGATTTTTTTTTTTGTAATTCGTTATATAAAAAAGCACCCTTTACGAGCCTCCCTTTTTGAAAAGCCCTCCTACCAAATCAGAGACTCAAATCAGTGTAACTTTATTACACATATTAAGGGAGGTCTATTGAATAAATTAGCACTCATTAGGAGATTTTTATGGGTATCCATAGTTTTCATGAATTTAAAAAAACAACTTTTTTAGAATTAAAAGAAGAAAATCACATTTACTCCTCAATATCTCCTTACCCGTAAATGGTAGATAGGTATTGAATGGTATCATCTTGTTCTAAATTTAATTTAGATTATTTTTGTAATTCATTGTATTTTAAGAAAAACTCACCATTTTTGAGGTATTTGCAAAAAAGTAAAAAAAGTCCTATTTTCACCCCATTTTCTTTAAACCCTACTTCCCAAATCCGACACTCAAATCAGTGTAACTTTTTTACACATATTAAGGGAGGAATATTGAACAATTTGGCACTCATTAGAAACTTTTTTATGAGTGTCCATGGTTTTTCTCCATTTAAAAACATTTTTTTTAGAATTTTAAGAAAAAATCACATTTACCCCCCAATATTTCCGGAACCGTTCATAGTAGATAGGTATTGTATGGTGTCATTTTGTTCGAAATTTAATGTAGATTATTTTTGTAATTTATTGTATTTTAAGAAAAACTCACCGTTTTTGAGGTATTTGCAAAAAAGTAAAAAAAGTCCTATTTTAATCCCATTTTCACCCCCTCCCCCCCAAACCCGACACTCAAAACAGTGTAACTTTTTTTTTACATATTGAGGGAAGTGTATTCAACAATTTGGCACTGGTTTGAAACTTTTTTTTGGATGTCCCGGTTTGCTCTTTTTTTAAGCTAATTGCACTGTACTATATGTGCTCGTTGGGTAACACTGGGTCTCCACAAGCTTTCTCGCTGCTGCATAATATCAGTATATTACAGTACTGCCATTTTGCTTCAAACAGAATATTAATTGTTACTATTTTGTTACTATTACTTTTTGTGTTAATCTAAATTCCAACTGCGCCAACAAAATAAAGTAACATCTTTTGTTTCTAGGTGTTACCATATATTACATTATCTATTATGTTACTAATGTTTTAATTGTAATCCTATTCAGGTGCATTTTCATTCAAAACGGCAGCACTGCATCTTTTATACAGAAAACCTAACAAAATTCAGTTCCCAACTAGTTTGGCTATTTCTAAAAAAAAATGAGTTGTATATTTTTTGCTGCACCGAAAAATAATAGTTACTAATTTATTACCATTACACATAGTAACAAAATTTTTTTTATTAAACTGTTACTTGAAAATTCCTTCCTCTTATTAAGAACAAAAACGCAGTGCCTCAGTGAAATTTCAAATATTGTGGCTTATACTGTTCCCAACACCAATTAAGTTGCCATATATATATTTGAACCGACTCCTTCCTGTATCCAATCATCAATTATAGGTCTCGGAAGTGAAACCAGTAGCAGGTTAACCAACCTGATCAATTAGCAGTGATTAACGCTAATGAGCACGGATACAGTGTTACCAACTGCGCCGCTATTATGTCTATCTAGTCAGCTGCTTGATTGATGTCCAAGTTTCTCAGAACTGGTTTATGGAAGTGTTGATAGATAGGTTCCTATATGTATGATTACAAAACTATTATTCTTATGACATATTCCTATGATTAATAAACGAGTTTTCCCTCACCTGTTATTTTGTTTTGTAGAAATTACATTCTATTTGTATGATTATTTTGGATATATATACTAGGCGAAACCCGTCGAAAACGACGGTTAACTGTTGAGGTTTCGAGCTAAATAATTTAATCATCAATCGATGATAAATAACTCCATTTTTGTGATTCAGCAGCGTGCTTCAGGTAAACCGATTCAGCAGGCCGATGCTAACAAACAATAGCTAAAATAAAAGCTGGTATATCACTGAACGTTCTTAGACCAAAACTTATAGGATAATGCAAAAAGAACTAATGAAATCCATCTTAAAGTGGGAATTGAAAAAAAAACAAATTTATGTTTTTTCATCGAGTAATGGATAACGGATGATGCTTGATGGCAAATCTGTGCGTGCATACCTTTAATTTAAGACAAAAATTATGAAAATCGATCGGTTAGAAGGGCCGAACCACGAACTGACTCGAAAGAGAAAAACCAATATTTTTTATATATAGATGATTAGAAGTCGACTTTCTATAATAGATTTTGTGCTGAACAAACTGTTGGTTAATGGTTTTGGATATGTGTGATAACCAGTCACCGAACTGTTTTATGAGCATAATTATACAGAAAGTCTCCCAAATGCAAATGTGACTTTTTCTATTCGAAACTGTTGTTTAATGGTTGGTATTACTAAACTGTATTTTTATCAAAGGTGATGTTAAGCGAATATCTTTCAGGCTTAACAGAAGAAAGCCTTGAATTTTTGAAGAAAGCTTTGAAGAAGATGTCGTTAGTTTATTTTTCGTCGTAATAATGTACGATTACTATTTTGTTTTATAGCCCTATCTGAGCAAAATGCTGAACAAATCTGTCATCAATAATATTGAAATCAAGTTCTGTAAGGTTTATTACAAAACTTATTGTTTGTAGTTTCGTGTTTGAGACACGATGAATACAAAAATGTCTTAAGAAGAATAAATAGTTATCATTTATCTGGCAGATATTAAATTACAACAAAAGGAGAACAAAGTCCGCTACTGAGGTGTAAGTATCCTTCCAATTGACAGTAGTTACTGACAACTGGTCGGTGCTGACTGATGGCCTAACAAGGTAGAGAAGTGAATCTCTTTCGACACCTAGTAGCATCGGTCCTCCCATCCGCAGCTCGATACGGCCTGGTATATATGTCGACGCGCCGACACAACTTTCCTGCGAGAACCAAACTGGTTAACTGGAATTATTGTGGATTTCCGTGATATTTACCCAAATACAATAACGGGAGAAGCTTATTTTGTAATTATACATTACATTAACAACCCTGTTAATGCCTGTTAATTGTTTTTGGAATTAATTGTTTTTAATGCAACATTAACTTTTGGACATAAAAATTATATTTAAAAAATCCTACTCACCTAGTATTTCTACATTATCACAAAAACTTTCGAAGGTTTCTATATTTTTAATTTATGAATCTTTGGGTTAGTGGTAGATTAAAAAAAATGTACAGTAAAATTAGATTTGTATACCTTAAGATTTTCTTCTTGGATTCGTATACTCTAATAGCCAAGAAATAATCTATTTGTAAATTAATTTTTAGTATGGTTTGACTAAAATGAGAAATACGTTGTTCTAATAAAATTGGATCCAACCAAATTTAACACAGTACTGTATTTAATATGTTAATACTGTATTATGTTCATGTGTTTGACTCGTATGATTCAATTATTACTTATTTACTATCTTAGTGACACACATTTTTGTTATAAAACTAATCAATAGAATTATTATGAATTATTTTATTAATTAGTGAATCAATTAATTTTAATTTATCGCATAGTATCACAATAAACACTATAAACGGATGTATCATTTGCCAATTAATTAAAAGAATATTGAACTTGAAAGAATATTGAACAATGACGTCAATTATGATAAATTCATGAGTCAGAAAAATTAATTTTCCAACATGCTCGGAAAGTTTATACATAAGAATGACACACAGAAAACGGGCAAACCTTGGTTATTTGAAATTAATCATATTTTCTTTGTTTATTAACGAATAAAGAGACCAATTAGATACAACTGCTTCGTTTTAGCGAATTTCTCTACAGAAAAGAGGCTGTTACAGTAGGTGATATGGTAAGACCAGGCCCGTAACCGATTTACTTTTTTCATTTTGATGTCTCCAGAGGCCAAAACACTATTCGTTAAAAATTTTATCTATGAAATATATATTTCCACAATATATTATGTTTTTACAATTTTAATTTTAGCCATCATGTACTCGTTAAATCTAATGTTTATTGAAATAGGGATGTACCTAGGCACAGAGCATTGCTCGCTGGTATTTAATTTGTAAAGAGGTTAAAAATATAAAGCATGCATATTAATGATTTCCAACAGATTTTACTTTTCATTAAAACCATATATATAAATAAAATTAGAGTTTTGTCTGTACATTGCTCAGAATCATAAAGTTTTAGGTTATTTTTACGTTTTATACATTAAAGAAGCCGAAACAAGTCTCATCTAAATTTCTGTCTGTCTGTCTTTCTGTAACACTCAAGACGACATTTTACGCAATCTTCTCCAGGAAAACGAGAGTACCTATCACGATCCATGTCATTTTAATGTATTCACTGGATTGGCGAGAGTGTCTTTAGCCATTAAAATATGGCCTCACTACTTTGTAAATAAAATTACAGACGTTCAAAAATGCAGTTTTGTGCGATTTTTGTCAAGTTTTTGTCCAATTTTTATCACATAATCATCTATGAAATAACGAACAGCTGTTCTTATCAAGATTATTTTTTCTAGCTGTCACTGATATGTTTACAAATGTTGTTTACAAATACCACAACCATTTCCGATCACATTTTGAAGGCAAATCCTAACCAAGTGAGATTAAAAACGTTTTTCTTACATAACGGATTTAATTAATCGCAAGTGGAATAATATAGTGTAACCGTAAATGTAATTAAATAACTAGGCGTCATCCAGGTCAGGAACCAGATATTCTTTGTGTATAAAATTGTTCTTGAGGTTAGATAACCAGAAAGAAGACCTTGAATCAGTGTTGTATAGGGCTGGGAAACTTAAATTCATTAATGATCGTCGCCAATAGCTTACAAACAAGGTTTCCACTCATTGACGGCGCTTCAATGGCGGTTGTGTAAAGTGTAAAGTAAACAACTGCAGTGGGTGATTAATAGAGGTTTACGGTTTATGGATGATGCTAAACTCGCTTTTCCAATGTGTCACTTCGGTTCCTACTCACCATGTGATGCAATCGCTGGACCATACAGCCAATAGGCCCATAGCCCATCTCTTGGGTACTTACGCCTACCCAATTATTCATAACAACCTTTTTGACGACGATCCTTGATACCGGTACTTTTCCCTAGAATACACGGCCTCCCTACTTAAGAAATAAAATTACAAACGTCCAAAAACCCAGCATTGTGTGATTTTTGTCACATTTCTTTCTAATGTTAATATATATACCAATCATTGTTTAGAGAATACGTAATCTATAACAAAAAGTTGTTTGTATAAGGTTGTTTTTTTTTCAAACTGACACCAATAAGTTTAGGCCTACATTAAAAGTTGTTTACGAATAAAACAATTAATGGGAAATAACTTTGATTGCCGATAACTTTTTACGAGAAAATTCAAAACCAAGAAATCAATAATCTTGTGACTTGATTAACGCATTTAATTGGTTGAATGTACTTTAGTTGCTAACTGTAAACGTTGGTTTTTGGTACTGGTTCTTTTCCTTAGAACCATTGGTAGCAGCAAGAATCATTTTTACGTACCAACACTTCACTGTAATTTACAAATTAGTTATCGTTGGTATTGCACCTTATTTATACAGTCGTATTCAGTTTAATTGATGTCTTAAATGTATAAGTTTTGCTTTTTCTGTCTGGATTCCAAAATGTTAGTTTATGCCAAGAAAATGATAACTCATTTAAGTAAAACATTTGTTCAGCAAACCATCGTGAATTGTTTACGATTTACGTTGTTTATGTTTTAATAGTTCGTGGCCTATTTTGGTAATTTGTATTATAAATTACCAATCTAAATCGTCTATAGTACTTCATTTCATATAGTAAGCAGTCATTTCGACAGCATTTCGCGTCATCTTCGGTCCAAGCAAATATAAATTGATAAAATTTGATGACATTGACAAAGATTTCAAATATTAATTTTACTTTGTTATGCTTAAAACGTAACAAATTCCCTAATTAAGTTCTGTATTTTTTTGTGTATGTCTGTTGGTAACGTATTAATGTCCTTATTTCTTAGTGTCACGAAAAGGACAAGTTGAGCACCTTTGATAATGAAAATGTCAACCCGAAAGTGTTAAATGGTGAGGTTGAGGCAGTACTTTAAATACTTTTAACCATTGTGGAAAGTAACTTTCAACTATAGGCCTACCTTAGGGCTATGACTCGTAGATCTATTTCTCATAGTAGGCCTATAAAGCTTTTTTAGTTTAATCATTGGATTTAACATATGGACTAACATATGGGGTGACATGACTTTTAATTGCAAAGCGTTTGTTTTGGCTTGAAACTGTCAGATACTGTATTTGCGAAGGTGTATATATAATAGTTTTGCCAGCATATCTGAAAATATGCAAACCAACTGCTGTTCTTAATATAAGAAGGTTTCAACTAACTACTATAAGATCCCCGTGCGTAGAACGGGCACACAGCTAGTACTGTAATACAGTATTATAAAATGGGTAATCTAATGAAATTTATAATGTATTAACTTTAGATAATACTAATACAGTACTGGTGCTATTTATACAACAATTTATTCACAGTTTTATAATCTTAAGTCATTAAAAACCACTGTAAATAATCTTGCATTACTAACACAGCTCAAAAAGTAAAAAAATAAAGATATCAATATTTGAACACAGCATAACAGAAGAAATAGTTTGCGAAATGGATGTCTTAAAAATGTTATATAAATTATAAATGTCTGTATTTTTAATACGATGACGTTAAAACAATAAGCTACATTAAAGTATAGCTTGTAATTCCTAAGCAATAGGTATAGCTGTAAAGTGTTATAAATTACAAGTAATTTTGGACACTTGGTCATAAATTGGGTTTGAATTAACAACAAACTGCAAATGCAGTTTCCTCGTAAAATCGAGTTTAAAACTATACAATTTTAGAAAAACTATTTTAAACAGTTAAAGATAATCTAACGTAATTGTGTGCGCAAACGTTACTCGTAGTGTGGACTTACTTTAGTAAAAATCCTATCAGACAAATTGAAAGTATACAGGATTTCTGCGGCGGGGTATCGTTGGTTATAGTTATAGTCGTTGGCCTACTAGTTTCAGTGAGATTTTATTTCTTCATTCCGTATTTGATATTACATCAAAAAGTTATAAGCCATTATGCAATTCCCAACACATGTTCGCATGTTTACAGATGCGTTGATTAGGCCCAACAATTAGAAGAACGATATCACGTAGGCCGTGGCGTCAGCGCTATCACATACAGTGAGTCAGCGTCGCCACAGCCAACATTCAACGTTACGTAACCTGCAAGGCTATCAGCTGTTATCAGTCATTCCATTGTTGTGGCGACTGTGCCAGTGTTGCCAACACGACGAGACCACACATCAAATTTCCCCGAAATCATCCCAACAGTCGTAGCCAACCCCAAAGCCCCAAACCTCCACGCGCAAGCCATTGATAGGTAAAGCTGTAATTTTAGGTTTAAGCACTGTAAACGCTTTTAAATTGCATTTACAGATGTATATGGTTAAACAATAGCCTTAATTGTTAAAATGCTATCTGATTTTAGAACCATGACAAGGTCAACGCCATCAATGAGTAGTAGCCTATATGGTAGCTCAGTGGTTATACAGTATTGCTCACAGTCAAAATGCTACCGCCGGTTCGATCCTGAGCCTGAGAAAAGTATGTAAGTTTTTCATGGTTCGAAACTGGACCCAGTTAGTTTTCCTTGGCCATTGGACTCTTAATAATTGGTCCTGACTAATGAAACAGCTGGTCTTAAGTCAATAACAAAGCTACACAGATCATTTCACTCCAATCTATACTCAAATTTGGGTTAAAATACTGTGCGTCATCATCTCAAATGATAACTATAATGAAAAATTAAAAGTACATTGATGTCAATATGCTTTCTAATGATTCTAATTTAAGACAATAA